GCTGTAAAGCCACTCAGTGCAGAGTAAAAAAAAAAAAAAAGTTGCCCAACACTAAGACATGAGCCCTGCGTGCATGACATCTCAGAGGGAAATTTTCATCACGGAAATAAGTACTACTTCTTAGAATGGGCTCTCTCCTCACCCTGTCATCGATGCTGACAGCAGCAGCTGGAAGATTCACACTGGACCGGGGAGAGCAACTAAACCTAGCAGTCAGGAGCCCTAATTGCTGCGCTACCTAGGGACTAGTGACAGAAAAATTAATTCCTGCTTTTAAGCTGCCATCTTTTCTCTCCAAGTTCTCATTATGAAAAATTTTTTTAAATCTACAAAAGTTAAAAGAACCATATAATGAGTACTCATACATTGTCTGGATTACACATGTATTACCATTTTGCTGTATTTGTTTTATCTAAACATCAGTAAAGAAACATACAATTTTTTTTTTGTTTTGGTTTGTTTTTCAAGACAAGGTTTCTCTGTATAGCTTTGGCTGTCCTAGAACTCAACTCTGTAGACCAGGCGGCCCTGAACTCACAGATCTGCCTGCCTCTGCCTCCTGAGTGCTGAGATTAAGGGTGTGCACCTACACACCTGGATAGAAATATATAATTTTTTAAATTTTAAAGTAGGAGTATGTCCATGGATATGTGCATGTTAATGCAGGTACCGGTGAAGGGCAGAAAGCATCAGATCTCCTGCAAGGAGTTACAGGCAAATGTAAGCTAGCTGCCCAGTATGGGTGCTGAGAACCAAACTCTGGTCTTCCTCAAGAGCAGCACATGCTCTTAAGCACTGTACCATCTCTCCAGCCCAATTTTATATATATATATTATATATATATATATATATAATATATATGATTATTTTTTAAAAGTATCTGAAAACAAGTTGTAGAAATAATGAAAATTTATCCCTAAATACTTAAGCATGGTGCTTAAAAAAAAAATCAATTCTCCTACATGACATCACTATCAAATGTAGGAAAAGTTTTCCTAGTATCTTTTATCCTAATGTATTCTAATTTCCTTATCTGATGCAAGGATATTCTATAGGGGTTTTCTGGATGAAGATTTAATCATTATTTATACTTCATCTGTTAGAGTTCTTCATTCTTTTTTAATACTGTTTTCCCTGTATGATTTTTTTTTTTTAAGCATGTGTGTTGGGGGGTGGTATATGCAGGTGTCCATGCTAACATATCTCAGCAAATGCTCCAATTCCTACAGCAGAATGGGGTAAGGGGAAAGGCTCTAATACAGAGCTGGTTCTTAAAGCTTTGCCTGAAGCGCATATTGGCTGACTAAAGAAAAGCACATGGTCACATTTAACTTCAGGTAAGTAAACACTACATCACCCATTTAGCAGAAGTCAATTCTAGATGAACACAAAGTCGTCATTTTCTCATGTATTCAGAAAGTCTTGAAAGAAAGCACACTGGGCCTAGCCTTATCCACCACACTTCTCTCTGGACAACTTCTGTGCACTTTACTTAGCCATTTCAAACACTTTCAATCTCCTTAACCTCCAACTCTCTGACCTCCCCACAATGAGACGGCAAATCTGGTCTTTCTATCTCTAAATTTACAAACCTGCATCCATTAACTTTCCATTATCCAAGTTGTGTCTGGAACTCTCCAAGGCTCTCTTGGCCAACAGAAGGATTCAAAGGACTCAGCACATGGTTGTAGGCTGTACTCTTGCACATTTCACAGAGCATTTGAATGAGTATACAACCTGATTAGAATGGACAAGGACTCTTTTCCATAACTTCCATCAGCTCTCTCCCTCTCCGGTGAGTGAGCACACACTCTCCTCCTCACAAGGAACAAGCAGCTATGAATCTGAGCTCAGGGGAACCCATTAGAGACTTGGAGACCGGGATCTGTACGGTAACTGGTAATTTGGGCATAAAATATAACGTTGGGCATAGAACATTTACTACATCAGAACACTCCCAAACTCCAAGTTTCCAGGTGCCAAACAAGGGCCAAGGCTGCAGGCAGAGCCTACAAATGACAGAAGCCTCAGGCCTGATTGTTAACTCTTCACACAAATATGTTTTGGGTATTTTTTTTTCCGTGCAGTTTTCTAAACATCAAGTGTTACAGCACTTTTTTTAAAATCTGTTTACTTATGTTTGTGTGTGTGTGTGTGTGTGTGTGTGTGTGTGTGTGTGTGTGTGTGTGTGTGTAAAGATGTGCACGTGTTTCCGTGTTTCGATTTGCATCGGTGAGGATCTCTTTCACCACGTGGGTTCTGGAGATTGAACCATTAGGCTTGGCAGCCAAAGCCTTCACCTGCCGAACCATCAGCTTCAATTTTTAATTTAAACATTACCGAGCACCTGCATTTTCTCTAACACGGGATGTACAGCTAGCATATTTAATATTTTGCTTTTCAGCTGGCTACAAACATCCCATGTCCAAATACTGTTAAGTTTTGGGCGGCTATTCTCCAGCATGAGAAGAGGAAACGTAAACATCTTCCTTTAGACACCCGGGCTCAAAACACTCAAGAACCTTCTCCCAACTACTCTGAGATACGTCACTCTCATCACTTTCATCATCCTCATTTTACACTTGAAACTGGATGGAGGTAAAAGTGACTTGCAGAAGTCCGGGAGCCAGAAGTGGGCTCGGGTAGGATCGCCCCCTAATATTCGGTGTTGCCAGAAAGCCGTAGTTAGGCTCTCTTTCTCGGGAGGCCACTGATGCACCCCAAGTTAGCAGAGTGGAATGCGGGGCAAGGAGAGATCGCGAGGGGACTAGAGATCCCGGGTCACCGTGAAGACTGGACTTGGCCTGCTTCCCTCCCCGACCCCCGCTCTTCCCGCAATCGCCAGGACTCGGCCGAGTGGCCGCCCGGCGCCGCTGTGAATGTGGACGCGAGGGCACGTGGGAAACCTCTCTTTCTAGGCTGGTCCACCTACAAGGAGGCATCGCCGCCCAAGCGAAGACACAAGGGTTGCAGTGACCCCAAAGCCTGGGCCCCGACTCACCCCGCCCGCCGGGCCGCAGCTTCCACACACAGGAGCTTCTGCGCCTGCGCAGCAGGCAACCCGGAGAAGGCGGGGCCAGGCGTTCTGGGAGGGGCGAGGGCGGGGTCTGGTATTGTGGGTGGGCTGGGGGCGGGCCTTTGAGTCTAGGCTCAGATCCTGAATGTCGTTCCCGCAGGGAGGAGGTCAGAGCGAACTGGAGCTGGTGTAGATGCAATGAGGGGGTGACCCCTTGCAGCTGGCTGGTACAAGGCTAGCCACAGGGCCTGAGTTCAGGTGCTGGCGTGGATGAGCTGCTATGGTCCTTCTGGCCTGTCCCGCTTGCTGGGCACCTTTTGAGACGGCCTCTCCTGTCTCATCACCCTTCCGGAACTCTGTAGAGTTACATCTGACATTCACTGTATATCAAGTTTTTTTTTTTCATGTGCTTCTCACTTCTGAACTAAACAATACATCACACCTGTAATTCTTCAGAGTCCGAGCATCTGTTACTGTACACCTTGCTTTTGAGTAAAAATAGTTGGTTTGAAATTATTTTGTTGCAAGCACTGGTTGATGGGTCCTAGAAGTCTCAGTCTTTCACAAGGGACAGGTTGTAGCTTAATGGTGAGGGTGCTGGGTTTGAAGTTAAAAGGTTGTAGTTAAGTGCCCAAAGCTGACTGTTTGTTACCTTAAAAATTCTAATTCATTTCTGAAGGAAAACTTGTCGAAGGAGCTAACTATTCGTTTACATTATGTTTATAGGAACCGTGCATTGGACAAATGCCATGGAATACAAATATGCAGGTCAACGTGCTGGGTATGGGGATACATAATGATCTTTTAGGAGATTTTCTTCCAGGAAGAAAGAAATGTTGTATCAATAAGAACAGTTTGTGTTGTGATGTAACTTCAAAGTCAAAATTGTCTGTATAAATATAAAGTTTTGTATGTTAATATTGAATTTGAAATAGAATATGAAAAAGATAGGCAAAAGAGCAAATGTAAAGTATTTGCATACTAAATTGCACCAGGAATAGGTCTTTTTTAAAATAAAATATTTTAAGATTCAATTTACAGTTAGGACAGAATTTTAAAATGAAAATTTAGATTCTCTTCTTAATAAAAAGCAACTTAAGAATTCTGCAATTAGTCACTCAATATTAAAATTTCTCTTAGAATTAATGAAGTCCCATGGCTACTGTCTGGTCCCCCAAGAAATTCCTTTTCCAAAGGTCCAGCATTTAGACAAAAGCCACCATTCCCTCGGGGGCTTGAAGAAAGTTCCTGTTTGCTAAAAAAGGGAGACATTCTCATCTCTGGCAAGAGAACAAGTGGCTCTTCACTTAACCTTTGACTGTGGTGCCTGTTCACTTGTCAAGGTCAATGCTAGGCTAGGCTCCCTCAGTGCCTGCTCACGAGCCCCACCCCAGCTCACAAGCCCCCTTTCTCCTATTCTCATTTAACTTTGGAAATCTTTCCCCCCGTCACTTTTCCTTGCTTTCCCAGGAGACAGTCTTGGCAGTTTGGGAAAAAAAAACAAAAACAAACAAACAAACAAACCCTTTTCACCCCCAGAGTGGCTAGTTTGGTTTCTTTACTGTACCCATTTTCATTCAACTGCCTTGATATCTAACAGATACGCTCTTAGTCTGACCAAAATCTCCAGAGACTGCAATCCCCATTCAAAGTTGGCAATGCCTATTAGCAGAAAAGTGACCGGAACTAGAGATCATGTTAAGTCTCAGACTCAAAAAGACAAATATTGCATGTTCTCATTTTGTTGTGGGATATTTACCAGAGAAGACTGCTTGGATGTGGGTTTAAGCCAGAACAAGGTCTATTAGTCAGCTGACGACTACACTGATCCCAGTGTAGCCCCAAGCCTTTCTCAGGGTGAGATTTTAAGCACACACACACACACACACACACACACACACACACACACACAAAAAAAAAAAAAAAAAAAAAAAAAACATATTCTAAGTTACATATTTCAGTTAACAAGAACAGTTAGCCAGAAGCAGAACTACAGAAGCCAAAAAGCAAGGTTAGTACATTTAGAGACTCTCCTGGAACTATGGACTTTGATGGATTCCGCCCTTGTTTTAGTTTGGGCAGGTGGTACTTTCTACGTATTTTACAGCCTGAATGGTACTTCCACATGGAGTCAGTTGTGCTAAGGTCTACTAAGACTACTAAGGTCTGGGGCCCTGTTACAATTTCATTTCTGTTACTGTGATAAAATACCTCATCAACAAGCAATTTAGGGGAGAAAAGAAGTCCATCATGTTGGGATGGCCAGGCAGCAGGAACTCAAGACAGCAAGAAATATCCTGTAAGAACATCAAATATGAAACTTTTGTATCAAATATCATGAAACTTGTGTTTAGGGTAAGGAATTCAAATCTTTTTACTCTCCCCACTTGTAAGACTTTATTCAAATGTTTTAATTTCCATCAGCACTCAGTAAAACCACTACTGTATTCCAGGAATTTGATGGCCTAGAGCAGTGACTCCACACTCCTTCATTTTCTGTTCACCAATTCTTTTCAGTTAAGACTGAGATCAGACCCCAGCTAATGGGGAAAAGACAGTCACCATCTAAGTTTGAATAAAAACCAAGTGCAAGCCAGGTGGTGGTGGCGCATACCTTTAATCCTAGCACTCGAGAGGCAGAGCCAGGCAGATCTCTGTGAGTTGGAGGCCAGTCTGGTCTACAGAGCGAGATCCAGGACAGGTGGCAAAACTACATGGAGAAACCCTGTCTCAAAAAAACAAAAAACAAAACAAAAAAAACAACAACGAAAAACCCAAGTGCACTTCCTGTCTGTGTTCAATTTTCCAAGCATGCCCTCTTTATCAAGAGTAAGGTTGGAAAGGTGGTCTCTTTCTTTGGGACCCTGAACTTATTTCTAACAATACACCAAGTCACAAGCAGAGAGAAATGAACACATGGGTGCTCACTTGCTTGTGTACAGCTTGATTTTGCCATTTTTAAGTGGAATATTACTGTGGGATGAGCTTCTGTACACTGTGAATATGTATTACTCTCATTGGTAATAAAGCTGTTTAGCCTATATCGAGGCAGGATAAGGTTAGGTGGAACAATCAAACTGAGGATTCAGAGGAAGAGGAGTCAAGAGAGACTGGAGCCAGCCTCTCAAGAAGCAAGATGCCAGAGGACCAATAAAGCCACAACGACGTGACAATACATGGATTAATTTAAATGTAAGAGCTAGTTAGCAATAAGTCTGAACAATCAGCCAAGCATTTATATACATCTCTATGTGGTAATTTGGGAAGTGGCTGCCAGGTATTTGGGAACTGGGGTCAGGACAGAAAACTCTGCCTCTGCTTACAGAATATTTATTTTTATGTATGTGTGTAAGAGTGAGTGCCAAGTGTCTACGTGTATGACTGCAAAGTCAGAAAACGGCATTGAGTCGCAACATAGATGCTAGGAACTGAACTCTAGTCCTTGTGCCCTGCTCGCTCATCTCTTCAGCCCTTCCATTTCTCCATGCTTGAAACAGTTCAGGGCCCCCTACCTAGGGACTGGTGCCACTCACAGTGGTCTTCCTATATCAATTAACCTAATTAGGGTAGTCCCCCAATCCAATGACCTACCTACTGACCAACCCAACATAAACAATCCAAGACTGAGACTTTTCCCAAATGATTCTAAGTTTCGTTAAGTTGGCAATGAAAGCTAACCATCACACATGTTTTCTCTCATACAGGGAACCTACAAAAAATGTATATTACAGAGGATTGGCAAGATAGCCTAGCAGGTAAGGGTACCTGCCACTAAGCATGACAACCTGGGTTCAACCCCCAGAAGCCATATAAATGTTTAAAGGAGAACTGACTCCATAAAGTTGTCCTTTGACCTCCAAACATACATGCTGTGATACATATGTGCTCTTGTCATCACACTACACACACACACACACACACACACACACACACACACACACACACACACCAAAATTTAAAAGCTTAAACTCTAAATGATTAGGAAAAACCTAGTAGTAGATAATGGCATTGGTGTAGAATCTGCTGTGGTTTATAAATTGTTGAATTATTGGATCTAGGGAGATGGCGCCATTTGGTGGAGTGCTTGCTATTCAAACATGAGGACTTGAGTTCAGAATCCCAGAACCATGTAGGAAGCAGCTGTGCCGCTAACTCCAGGGCTCAGGTGGGAGTGCAGAGACAGGCTGATTCCTCAAGCTCAGTAACCAGCCAGCCTAGCCTAACTGTTCATCTTTTTTTAAACAGTAATTTTGTATTTATTTAGTTGATGTATATGAGTGTTTGCTCACATGTATGTCTGTGTACCATTTATGTCTGTTTACCATGTACTTGCGTAGTATACTCAGAGATTAGAAGAGGTCATTAGATCTTCTGGAACTGGAATTTTAGATTGTTATAAACCATCATATAGGTGTTGGGAATTGAACCCAGGTCCTCTGCAAGAGCAACAAGTACCTTAAGCACTGAGCCATCTCTCCAGCCCCCTCAAACTGATCATCTTCAGGTTCAGTGAGAGACCCTGTCTCAAAAAATAAAGGTGGTACAATTGAGGAAAGACACCCAGCATTGGTCTCTGCCCTCCGTACACACATACACACCCACTCTAACAAGTACATACATCACACACACATACAGACAACTGCACACACACCTAACACACAATAAACAGTACTTAACTACTGAAAACGGGCTGATTTCAGCCAGGCTGTGGAACCGCACACCTTTAATCACAACACTTGGGAGGCAGAGGCGGGCGGATCTCTGTGAGTTCCAGGCCAGCCTGATCTACAGAGCTAGTTCCAGGAAAGCCAAGACAACACAGAGAAATCCTGTTCCAAAACACCAAAACAAAAACAAAAAAGAAAGAGAATGTGCTGATTTCAAAATGTGTATTTAATGGAATTATTACTTGGGCATACATTTTAATATCAGTTTGAATTAATATGTTAACTTTTTACTCAATAAATTCCAGTTCAATGCAGCTTTTATTATGTTTGGACAACTAAAGTGAAGAGAAAGTTAAGATAATGAGAAGCTTTGTGTGGCAAAAAAAGCCCCAGCCCACTCAACCCAAATATGCTCTGAGTTCTTTTTTTGTTTTTCGAGACAGGGTTTCTCTGTGTAGCCTTGCACCTTTCCTGGAACTCACTCTGTAGCCCAGGCTGGCCTCGAACTCACAGAGATCCACCTGGCTCTGCCTCCCGTATGCTCTGAGTTCTAATCCCTGGAACCTGTAATGTGTTACTTTACCTGGTGTCTTTGTTAGAGGTTCTATTGCTGTGAAGAGACACCAGGACCATAGCAACTCTGAAAAAGGAAAACATTTCATCGGGGCTGGCTTACAGTTTCCGAAGTTTAGTCCATTATCGTCATGGCAGGAAGCATGGTGGTGTGCAGGCAGACATGGTGCTGGAGAAGAAGCTGAGAGTTCTACATCAGATCTGCAGGCAGCAGGAAGAGAGAGACACACCTGGTCTGGCGTAAGCATGTGAAACCCCAAAGCCCACCCCCATGACATACTTCTTGCAACCAGGCCACACTTCCTAAAACAACTCCCTAAGCATTCAAATATATGAGCCTATGGGGGCTATTCTTATTCAAACGGCCACACCTGGTAAGAGAGATTTTGCAGATTTTATCACATGTTAGATATCTGAAGTGGAGATTCTGACTTGGATTATTTCAGTGGTCTGAATGTAAAGGTCCTTAGAGGAAGAAGAAAGGAGGGGCAAATGAGAGGTCTTACATCAGAGGCAAGGGTCAGCCAGAGAGATGTGAAGATGCTAAGATGTCTTTGAAGACAGAGAAAGACCAGGAACCAAGGAACGAGTCAGCACGAGGAGACATGAAATGCAGGCTAAAGTAAACTAAAATAAAATCTTTCCTGGCGTTTTTAAAAAATACACCTATTTTCGGACACATTGATTCCAATTAAGTATGATAACTGCAAAATTGTAAATAATCCACTTCTGTTGTTTGAAGCTAGTAAATATGTGGTGATTAGTCAATGTAGCAATGGAAAGCTAACACTATAAAACTGCCAAAAACCATCCTGAGAGAAAGCAAAATATTAACTGTTTGGCAGTACCCTGTTCTGCCGGTGCTGACTGCGGGGCGCTCAAGCGCCTGGACAGCGCCCGTGGTGGGAAGCCAGGAAGGAGCCGAGGAGGAAGTGGTCAGCAGCGCCCGGGGTCCCAGAAAGCCCACGGTGATGTTGGCCAGGCGGGTGCTTGGGACCTCACGCAGGGCGGCGTTAGGATCGGCGGAGGCTGCGCTTGGCGGTGAGCTTGATCCCTGAGGAACAAAAACCACCTGATTTCGGGTGCCAGGGAGGGGATGACATTGAGCGTTCTCTCTTTAGACTTCCAGTTAATAATATAAGTGAAGCCTCCCACTCTTGGCACGTACGTATGTAGTGCCCACATGCGCTTTTTGCTCCTTTTGATCCTCCGGATTCCATGCTCTCCCAGCTTGGAGATGCGCGAACACAGCGATAGAGTAAACATGGCACCAAGGTTATTTATCATGAGAATGAATTGTGCAAGTTTGAGTGATGAAGGTCAATTCACTACACAAAGGAGCCAGCAAGAAGGCTCCGGAGAGGCTTAATTACAAACCCACTCTTTTAACTTACCATTGTGACCCACCAGGGGACAGAGCTCATCTCTTCATGAACCAGACCTCCCCTGCACCCCCACCCCCCCACACACCCGGTTAAAACAGGTCCATCTCCCATTAATTCTGCAAATTTGGAAACAGAAGAAGTGAACGTGGCTATTAACCTAGCTGGGTCTAAAGCTCAATCCAGGGCTTCAGTACCTTCCCTGCACCCCTCTATTTTTTTTCCACTTTTTAAATTTTATTATTTTGTTATTTTAAATACTGCCTCTTCTTTAACGTCTATTTTCTTCCAAAGAAGCAGCTTCCCCGCTCCAGCAAGCTAGCTTCCCTTGTTCCCTTGTTAAGGTCTTTTGTTACTGAAGATGGGCTTTTCTGTGTAAATTGTTTTCTTTCACCTTTCTGTAGCAATACTACACAACCCAATCTGCCAGGCCTCCTGCAGGGGATACAGCTCCCTAAGGAGTTCACCATCTGTACGTGGATGGGCGAGAGAGACAGATAGATACAAGTACACAGCCCAGTCCAGAGTGACTGAACTGGAAAGAACCTCAGATCTAACGAGCACAGTGCCAGAGGAAGGTGCCTTTGTGCGTTTTTCCGTTTGTTTGTTTTGGTTTGTTTTGTGTTGGTTTTTTGAGACAGGGTTTTTCTGTGTAGCTTTGGAGTCTGTTCTGGAACTCTCTCTGTAGACCAGGCTGGTGTAGCATGAATCTTAAAGAGTCTTATTAACAAAAACAAACCCAGAGCCAGGTATTGGGGTGAATGCTGAATGATCAGAGAGACAGAACCAGCCACAGCTTCCTCACCTCGCCAGTTCCTCAGCTGATCCTGTTTCCTCAGACTGGATGCCTCTCAGCTGAACTGTGCTGCTCCAAGGCCTAAAAGCTTAACCAGCTTCTAGTTCCTGGTCCTCACGCCTTAAATATCTTTCTGCTTTCTGACATGGCTTCCTGGGATTAAAGGCTTGAGTTGCCATGCCTGGCTGTTTCCAATGTGGCTTTAAACTCACAGAGATCCAGATGGATTTCTGCCTCTGGAATGCTAGGATTAAAGGCGTGTGTGCCACCATTTTCTGGCCTCTATATCTAGTGGCTGTTCTGTTCTCTGACCCCAGATAAGTTTATTAGGGTGCACAATATTTTGGGGAATACAATACCACCACAGGCTGGCCTCAAACTCACAGAGATTCACCTGCTTCTGTCTCCTGCATGCTAGGATTAAAAGCGTGCACCACCCTCACCACCACCACCACCACCCGTCACCTTTGTGTATTTTAAAAGTTACACAAATAGTACATGGTTATACTCTCACTAAAGCAAAGCAAAACCAAAGAAAACAAAACAAAAAAATAGCACAGCCACAGATCTCCTTTAAACACTCACATCCTACTCCTCAGATATGTATGAAAATGACTCTTTTAAGCTTTTCTATGGTTTTCCATAGATAAAAGTTTGTATTATATGTGTGTATTGTGTATATATTTCTATATTTTGACTCACATAGATATTTAGCTTTTAAAAACTGCATATACCCCATAGTGGGGATATACTACAGTTTACTAACCAGTCACTTATAAAAAAATTTAGTTCCAGGTTTTTATTATAAAATTATTTGATAATCATTGTGTAATCTATTCTGTGTACACAAACAAGTATTTTACTAGAATGGATACCTGAGTAGAATTGTTAAAGGAAAGTGACAAGAAATATTAAATAGATATGAGAGGAGAGTCAGTGTCCCTTGTAAAAAGGAAGGGAGAGATGTTTCTTTCAGAAGGAGCAGTATGGTGTAATTTGTGAAAACAGGAATTGATTGCACTGTATATACATTAATTTTATTTAAACCTAACAGCATGTATTCATTAGTTTTCTCAGTGCTATAACATAATACCAGACAAAAGCAATTTCAGAAAGGGTTTATTTTGGCTCATAGCTTGAGAAGGGAGATAGATAGATAGATAGATAGATATTCATATATATATATATATATATATATATATATATATATATATATATATACTCCAAAACTTAAGACTTAGTCATTTTTTCCTTCAGTGTTAGAACTGATGAATGCGTCTTTGGTTGAACACCAGACCCAGTGGTCAATTTACAAGTAGAGGATATGGCATACAAAAACACCTATAGCTTGATGCAAATAGTGTGCAGTGTAGGCTCACGCCATCGAGAGACTTGGGGAAGGTGAGACTAAAGAAAAATATGTCTTTATTACCTACTACCTCACAAATGAGTATAGCTGAATTATAGGAAGTTCAAAGTCAGTCTGATGATTATAGGAAAAAAATGATCTTTGATCCAGTTTCAAGAGTTGTTTGTTGTGGGTACATTTTCCATGTTGGTAAGCACCGCTAGAATCAAGCTTAACGTAATTTATGAAATTACATAGTTCTCCAGTTTCTTACCATGACACATAGAAAAAATGCAAATTTAGCCTGCTGTCCTTAATTTGAGTAGGTTGATTGTGAACTTTTAAAAATCTAATTCTGAGGGCTGGAGAGACGGCTCAGTGGTTAAGAGTACTTACTGTTCTTCCAGAGGTCCTGAGTTCAGTTCCCATCGTCATTGTCAGGCGGCTCACAAGTGCTTCCAACTGTAGCTCCAGGGGATATATACATGTGGTATCTGCACACATATGTTAGACACATACATGGGGGGGGGGAACACACCTTACAGTAAAAAAAAAAAATGTTTTAAATCTCATCTTGGGGCTCATAAGATAGCTTAGTGGGTAAAGGTGCTTGCTACCTAAGCCTGGTGACCTAACGTGGATCCTGGAACCTATGAAAAGGTGGAAGAACAGACTCCACAAAGTTGTCCTGTTACCCCATACGTGCTCCTGTAGACCA